CTCAAAATAATTAAATAAAATAAATACATGTATATTATAAAATATTTTTCCTCTATAATAATAATATATTTCTGACCCAAAATATAATAATATAATTTCAATAACAAAATATCATATAAAATCAACCTTCTCTTAAAACATATAAATATTTATTTAAATATGCTAATAAAAAATACTTATTTAATACGTACAAAATAATTGTCCAAAACAATAATTATTTAAAACGTACAAAATAATATTCTTCTATAATTATTAAAATAATTATGACCAAATACCATATAATAATAATAATTATAATAATAATAATAATAATAACTTTATTGAAAACTGGGGTGTTACAGTGTCTATGCAACTACCTAAAAAAATATTTTCCTTGATTATCGATCTCTGTTATTTTTCATTTATATGCATTTATTTTTATTAAAACATATTCATTTCTATTTAAAATTAATCTTATCTCAAAATTTAAATTATTTTTAAAATTTTATAAACTTAAATATAAATTTTATATTTAAAATTATTATTTTTATTATTTTTAATTATAATTTTAAGTTTATATCTAGTAATAAATTAATGTTTATTTTTGTAATATACAAACTAAAATATTAGGTGAATAACAATGAATAAATTTACAGTTTTAATTATATATTAAAATTAAAATTATTTTATTTGACATTAACTTTATTATTGTGTTATTTGTAGCCTATAAATATAGATATTAAATAAATAAATTTGGAATGGAGTCAAACTAGCACAATTAATTTGTTGCAAAAATAGTAAGTAAATTTGAAATTTTATTCGAATAGAAAAAAATTAAAATAATATTATATTTTATTGATCAAAGAAATATACAAATTCAGTTAAAAATTTAAATTTGAGTGAAACTTGAGTCTTACGAGTATTGAGCCTTCTCTCTTTAGAAAGTTAAAAGCTTTTTAAGCACTAATAATTTATCACTATGTGAAAGTTTTAAATTATGAATAGTTTTTTTATCAAAAAAGAATGATAGATATATAAATTCATGAACTTAAATAAATGATTTAGTTATATATAATACAAGAACAAAAATATTAGTTGAATGACAATGAATACATTTATAATTTTATTTAAATATTAAAATTAGAACTATTTTATACAAAGTTAATTTTAATATTGTTTTATTCATTAACCTATAATATAAATATTAAAGAATTAAATTTGGACCGAAGTTGCACTAGCACAACTAATCTTGAGTAATAATAATAGCAATTAAATTTAAAATTTTATTTGAAAAGAAAAATTAAAATAATATTATTTTTTTATTAATAAAATTTATACACAAATTCAATTAAATATTCAAAATTAAAGTGAAATTTTGATATCAATGGGATTTGATCCTTGTCCTTAATTAGAAGGTTAAAATAAATATAACCACTACACCAAAACTAATCATCTAATGTTATGTGAAAATTTAAAACTATATATAATAATTTTGTTAATTTTTTATATAGTTTTCATTTTCGGTACAGTAAAAAATATGTTTAATATATATTATTTAATGCAGTTCAATAAATGATGGTTTAAGTTTAATACAACATCTATTCCCTAAATTTTTTTTTTGAAAATTTTTAATTAGATACCTAAGCCAAAAAAAATTAATTATGCCTTTTTATCTTTCTTATATTTTGTAACTTAGTTTTAGTTATAAATTCATATACAATCCATGAAATTTCATAAAATATTTTTATTATTTGTCTATCAAAACAATAATTTTAAATTATTATTTAGTTTCATCATTCATATATATCAAAAATATTTTGTAAAATGTCATAAAATATTGCAGTACTAGGGACTAAATTATAAAAAATAAATGAAGCAGCAATTTAAAAAAATTAGTTTAGGAATCTAATTGAAAAATCATAAAAAATTTTAGAACTAAATAATATATTAAATAATTTATTAATTGAATTAGTAAAACCCAATATAATAACCAAGTCAATGATTGGCTTAGTTTTGATAATATCAAATTTAATTATCCTCACCTTAAATTAATACTGCCAAAGCATTATCATCAATTTTAAATGTGAATTTAATTTTTTTTTAAATATATCATATTAAATTAGTTTTGTGTTATCTTTTATCAAAAGATATTTTTTATTAATATAAATTATAATAATAACAACAACAAAATTTGAACATAAAATATTATTGAACAATTATCTTTAAGTATTCCACTAAATTCAAAATAATTACTTTCTTCTTTAATACCATCAACAACTTTTACAGGTTTCACCAGATCTTAATTAGATATAAGTTAGACTAAGTCATTATTGTCAAAATAAAACTTTTATTCATTATTTAGGACATTAAAATTAGAAGTACAATAATATATTTAATTTTAAATTTTCATTTTAATAGATAAGTTGTAAAAGATAACATATTATACTAAATATCTATAGTGTAGTTATGTGTGATATATTTAAAATAATATTATAATATCTTTTATTATTAAATAGTTTTTAATAAGTTAAATATATACGAATTTAATTAGTTGTGTAAGAAATGAGGTTAAATTTATATGTATTTATCTCTAAAAATAAATATTATTATCTAAGAATAACTCCTAAAATGTCTTTTATTCAACATAATTTCTCTATATATCTCTACTATTAATAAAAATTATATATTTTGATCTAGGTCACCAACTAGAGTTGCTCTAAAATACCATAAACTTGTGAATTAGGAATTTGACATACAGTTAAGAATGGCTAAAACAGCAAGAAGATATCAATTAGTTCAATCAATTACAGCCTCACAGTCTACCAGGACCAACCTGCCTTCTTGACACAGGGCTGAGCCATGCCATGCTGGGAACCCAAGTGAGGTTACAAAAACAAACACAAAGTAAAAGTTAAGAAGTTACCTTTGTATAGATTTCAGATTCAAATTCCAGCCTCTCATTGGCAATTCTCTCACTCTGAGTTAAGCACTTCTCAGCTTCCACTTTCATCTTCTCAAATAATTCATTATCTCCGACAACTTTGTCCTGTACATGCACAAAAACAAGCATGACTAACTATGATATTCAAAACTAAAGAAAAGGGAGATGGTAGAAATTGAAGAAGAATTTATATCTTTCCTGAATTAGTTCTAGCTACTTTTCTTGTTTTGCACCTTCTCAAGATTAGAATCAGGAACGAGAGTAACAAGAATGCTTATCAGTCTCTATTTAAATGATGATTTCTTATACACAACAGAAAATATAAAGAATATCATAAATGTCAAGGCAGCCTTCTACTCTCCCATTTCACCCCATTGAACAATAGAGTCCTATCTGTTACCTGTCATATAACATCCCATAGACCCATATATTTAGATTTTCTACTAGTAGCTAAAAATTATAATGCATTAAGTTCTATAAAATTCACCAGTATACAGAAGCTAATTAACTCGGGAAAAAAAAATTGTTGCTATCAACATCTACTCACGAGTACAAGTAACTCACTTTCCTGGTCGAGCAGAAACAATAATTTTTCCCTAATGGTTTGTTTGGACGAGAGGAAAGAAATTAAACAGTACAGATAATGATACATTTTCCTTTATTAGGTAGAAGAGAAAATAAAAGGGAGGGGAGGGGGAGATATAAAATATAAAAAAATAATAAAAAAAATAAAAACTTTTCTTCCATCTTCTCTTGAACTAAAATTTCAAAAAAAAAAAATCCCCTTTAAAATAAACAGAGGGTAAGCGAGACATCTCCAACATAATGCCCATTACAAGCAAACAAACAGAAACATAAGACAGAGAAGTGAATGGTATACATACGGTGAGCTTGAAATTACTTGTATAAAAAACAGATAGAGACAAAGAGAGCGTACAAGTTAAGCAGAACCTTACACTTAGATTTATGTTTGAGCTCATGAGAAAGTCGAATATTTCCACATTACTTTTCTTAGAATCAGGGGACTCCGTGCATTTCCATCTCCAAAGCAGAGTCATGCCTTCCTTTTCAAAGGTCCACGACAACTGCACCACTCATAAACAACAGCAACCCTAAAATAAAATTGAAAGTATTTAACAAAGATAAGAGTTAGTTAATTACCCTCTTATGGCCATCATAAGTATCATCGAAGGCGTAGATAGAACGAGGTTGTTGAAGGGCCAAATAGCGTTCAGACAATTGCAAGTAGTCTGAAACAGGGAGGTCCCACTGAGAAGCACGCTGCTTCACCTCCTCCTCCGATGCTAACAAAAAGGGAAAATGAAAATTTTATTATTCTTTTGAGATGAGAATGGAAATGGGTAACGGAAAAGGAGAAAAGGGTGGTACGGTACGGTGGCAGAGCCAGGCGGTGAGGCCGTCGGTGATGACGATGTGGAAGTGTGTGGGAAACCAAGTGGCCTTCACGAAAATGGGTTGTTGTTCTTTCGCAGTGTCATCGGTTGGAATGAGAAGCTTGGAACACGAGTAACTCTCCATTGCCCTGCACTTCCACAGCTTCTCTTCCAACTTCCAACTTTCACATAAATAACAAACCACTTTTTTTTTTTTTTTTAATTTCTTATGCTTACAAATTACATAATCAAGAAAGAGTTTTTATCGCTTAATAATATTTTATTTGAATCAATCATAATTATCTTCCATAAAAAAATAATTGTGTTCTTTAAAAATTAATATTCATCGAAGTTATTTTTCTAATAACTTTTTATACATATTAATTTTATTAAGTTAATATCGTTAAAATTCTTAATAATAAGATTAAATCTAAATTTTTTATAAAATAATTAAACTAACTAATATTTGATCAATAGATTTTGAGACACTTATTATAATTTTGTAGTTGATTTTATTGGATGCTTATTTTGTTTATTGATGTTACATTAGCTTTGTTTTATATCCTTAAACTAATTTGGCCTTATTACAAATCGGATTAAGTTTTAGATTGCAATGTATTTTGACCTTTCCTTATTTTCTTTTATCATAATTTAAGCCATGAATATGCAATTGAGGTGATATTAGAGCTTATCGAAAGCTTAAAAAGCACATTTACACTTCTCGTGAAGAAATCATGAGTATGTTTAATTTGAATATGTGAAGGTTTGATAATTTCATATATCTTTTGCAATGGGTTGAAGGGCCATTGATTAAAACAAGAGCTAAAAGAAGTAAAGAGATTTTCAAATCATGGTCACAAAAGTGCAAGTTAAAGAAGATTCATTCAACTCAAAAAATGTCACATTTATATAATTTTAAGATAATCTCAACAAACTTTAAAACAATAATTTGGAAAGCCCAATAACTCAAATGTTAAAAATGTATATGTGCGATAAATTTTATTTGAGTAAATTTTTTAGTTTTTAAGGAATAAGTTTAGATGATTTGATATCTTCTAAGTTAAATTATAGTATTTTAAACTTTCTAAATTATATGTTTTTTTAATTATAATATTGATACGAAGTATTTATTATTAGTTTTTAAATAATGAAAAGTAATTTTTAGTAAAAATTAAAAGCTTACTAACAAGATAATGTTAGTGAAAATTTAATGCATGATGAAAATGTTAACAAGGATATAATTTAGCTTATAAATAAAAATCTCTTGTAAGCAATTAGGACAAAGTTTACATATTAATAAAATTGTGTATTTTTCCCTTGTTATAGCCTTTTTCTTTTTATTGGGTTAAGAGCATTATAGTGTTAGTTTTATCAACATATCAAGGTTAGGATTAAGTGTTTTATTTTTCTTTACTTGTTTTCAAAATGATCATAAGTTAAATCACATTTAGATTTAACTTAAATTGTGGATGAATTTGTGTTTGAAGTTTACATTGTTGGTTTGTTCCAACTTCTAACAAACCAAGATATGTGCAATCTTTTGATCATATATTAAGTTGCAAAGGTCAAAACAAGTATCATTTTATGAAACACGCACAATAACATAGATGTTTTACTTTGTTATTTAGTTATCTTTTGTGGAATTAAATTATTATTGGTTTAACTAAATTTGGTGGACCCATATTTTGATCTTAGTCTTTAGTTAATTCAGTGAAAACTTTATTAACACACCTCTTTGGAAAAATAAGGAAAGCTCCTCATATCACTTGGAGAGTTGCAAAACTCTAGCTTTCTCAACTATAAAAATTAAACACATTTTCTCTTAATTATAAAATTTTAACAAAATTACTCTTTTATATATTTTTTTCTTTCCAATATGTATTTCACAAGCTTTTCGTACAATTAATAAAAATGATATTATCCTCGATCATCTCAAATTAGAATTAAGGTAAACAAAAGTGTTGGTTAACATGTAAAGGTCATTAAAAATTACCTTGATCACCTATGATAAGTTTCTAAAATAATTTTGAGATTAGATCTGGAAAATAATTTCATTTTGTGAGAACTTATTAGTTTAAGTGGTTCAGTGGTCCTTAGTGATTATATGTTTGTTTTCAATCTAATTTCACTAAATTAACAATACGTAAATAAAAAAATCTATAATTAGTTCTTACTAAAAAAATTTGTCGTCGAGATTTAACTAAACATAAATATGATTCGTTTAGTTTTGATCACATAAGTCATTTTGAGCTCAAATTTGACTCATGTTGACTATGAATTCATTTATCTTTGTTTACATAATTTTTTTTAATCTTTTTTTTTACAAAAATAATATTATATCATAATTCAAAATAACTTATTATAAATTTAAAATATAATTAATGTATTTAAAAATATTTTATTATGAATTTTAACTATAGTCTATAATAAAATATTTATTTATTATTAATTATAATTATATAAAAATAAACACTTATCCTACGTAGGGCACAAGTCAAAATTCTGATGTGTTTAAGTTTTTTTACTATCTTTTTCCAATAAATCATCTTTCAAATAATTAAAAATGATGATTATTGTTTGGACAATTAATATTTTAACAATTTTTTGGTTGCAAGATAAAAGACGTAGAAATACTTTGTTTTTAGAAACTATTAAAATATTCTAACTTTGTTTTAAAACAAAATTCAATCAATTTTTTCATTAAACTGAGTTACTTTATTCAATGAGTTTTAAACAAATACATTTTTTCATATAAAATTAAACTGTATATTTATTATTTTCTTACAAAAATAAATTTGACACATTTTATCTTTTTAAGAAAAATCAACATATTCTTGAGATCAAAATCTTATTTAAGAGATAGGAATCGAAATCAACGGTTTTCAATTTTCATAGTTGATAATGATATTCGCATTAAATAAAGTGATACTATATGTGATTATGTTAGTGATGGTGGGGCATAATATAGTATAAGCGTATTCCCCTTTCACGAATAAGAAGTGATATCTGCACTGCACGTGAATGAACAGAAAATGTTCACGTGCAAAGGAGCAAAGGAAACCTTAATTACAGATGATGAGGTTGGTGTGGTGATAGGAACTACAACACTTAATACCTCAAAAAATGCTTCACTCTCTGTATCTGCTACCACTCTTTTTCACTCTCTTCATCTTCATCTCCTTCACTCATCAACATCAAAATCATGATGACCCTTCCATCAAAGCCACCATGGAGCAATTCTCTGGTTACACAATCCACGAACCTCACTCTTTCGATCGGAA